CTGGTAGATGTTTACCAACGTTTCAGAGGTCATACTGCCTCCATCATCAGGGCGATGATTATGAAGATTTCTGTCTTCTGGGTTGTTGTGCTGTGTAGTCTGGTAGATGTTTACCAACGTTTCAGAGGTCATACTGCCTCCATCATCAGGGCGATGATTATGAAGATTTCTGTCTTCTGGGTTGTTGTGCTGTGTAGTCTGGTAGATGTTTACCAACGTTTCAGAGGTCATACTGCCTCCATCATCAGGGCGATGATTATGAAGATTTCTGTCTTCTGGGTTGTTGTGCTGTGTAGTCTGGTAGATGTTTACCAACGTTTCAGAGGTCATACTGCCTCCGACATGACATACCCGAACTCTGTTAAGTCATATTAAACTACAATGTAAATATTATGGTCTTGGTGTTTTATAATGAGCGTCAGAAGATAATTATTTTCTAGAAGATGTGCTTAAGGTCATATTTCCTGCATAGGGCTGATAAAATGACCCACCATAATCTTCCTTCTAAATAATGTGAAAATTAAATGTAAATTCAAATAATCAACACATGTAATGTTTTGAAACATTATTAAAATGATATACTATTTTAACCTAAATTAACCAAAAATGAGATTAGTGCTTTTGATTTAAAATAAAGTGACAAATCTTTGTCTCAAAGAGAAGAAACTGGCTTTCACCTTTTCCGCCAAAAATATAATTAATTCTGTCCTATCGATAATATATAATCGCAGTAAAAATTGTGTGATATCACCAACATTGTGTTTTCAAATTTATCTGGGCCATTTTGGTCATAAATCCTGCATTTAGTATATTTCTTTTCATCTCTGCCAAAATAAATCCAGCAGACAATGGTAAAATTCCAGTTACGTTATGTAAAGATACAGAAATTTACCTTTCGATTAGCTATAAAAAAATGAATATATTTACCGTTTATTAAGATTAATGACACATTACTTTTGTCATGAAAGTTATTTTCTTGTTCTCCGGACTCGTAAATGTCGTCTGACAACGTACAGTGCTTCGCAGTTGGCGACTGTTTCACTAAAGACAACTTTGCCGATGTCTGCGATGTAATTATGCTGATTTCTGTTGACAGTGTGTGCTAGCATGAGTATGGCAACGACTTGGCCATATTTACAACATTGGTCAAATACATTAACTTCGAAACACTCATAAAGTATTAAATAACAATTATTGCATTCTCAGGTTCTGATTTTAATGGCGTAGAATAGTACCAGTACTTTGTCGTACCGAGGGACATTTCTTGATACTTCAGAGAGGAAGTAATAGTTTGAAGAATTCGACCAGTTGTTGGCTGTTATGGGCTTTCTCCGAGTAGAGTGAAGGTCCCATAAAATGTAGCACAAAGTGTTGAAATTCCTTTATGGCAGTTGGATGGTTATGTTCTCCTGAAGAACAGGGCGTGTATGCAAATCCTCAAGATTTATACCATTCGGGCCCACACTTGTACCGTTTAATGGTGCAACTTCCATTAGCGAGATTACAACTCGCATATTTTTTTTTCGATGAAGAGAGAATCACACACACACAATCTACCTCTTTGCCACTTCATTTGATAGGGTAAAGCGAGGAATTATTACGTCATAAAATTGTAGATATATCGTTTGTATTTTCTAAAATACATAACCGATTTTATTAGCTTTGACTGATTTTATCATCCTAATAATTTCTAAGCTCCTTCTTCGTAAAACTGAAACCATTTAGGCTGTTAGTTACAAATACTCTCCTCAGTAACCTGTTCTCAGACACACTCTTAATATGGCAGACCAAATTTCCTTCCCATACAAAATGATTCTATATTTGAAATGTAAAAACAAAAGTTTCCGAACCGAATGGTAGCAAACATTCCTCATAGGGTAGACTTTAAATGCTAATTGGCTCCTTGACTCCTTCGAAGCCAATATTTCCACAGTGGCACAAACATGTGAAAACATCTGTGTTTTCTTTTCTTTTCATTGTTTGCTCAGCTTTTAGTCATAAATTATTCACCTTTACAATTTATAGAATTTATTATTACCTCTAACATAATTGTTCAAATTGACTTGAAAAAAACTTCTTTTCAGTTATAAAATATGTTTAACCGT